GAAACTGGATCTTTGGGATGAACCAGTCTTTGCCATAATGTATTTTGGGGTTTAAAAGCCACTGGGATGTTGTGTTTAGAAAATAACCAACTCAGTTTCTCTGATACTCCCTCAACATATGGGATGACCACTGGTCTGGGTCTGGGTTCCTCCTTTTCACCTGATGGCTGACTGAAGTCCTGTTTGGGTTTCTTCTCTGCTTTCAGAATGGCCCAGTTAGGATATCCACATTGCTCTAGAGCCTGTCTTGTGTGGGATTTCTCCTTCTGCCTGGCTCCTGAGTGTGGTACAGAGTCCTGATGACTCCTAACTTGTGCTCCAAAGGGTGATGGAAGTCGAACAGCAAATACTGGTCTGTGTGGGTGGGTTTTTGGTACACCTCAGTTTGTAAATATCCTCTATCAGAGACTGAGACCTCACAGTCCAAGAAAGCCAACCTGACATTTTTACATCTTCTAATGTGAACTTGATGTATTTATCCACAGAGTTGATGTGGTCAGTAAAATGTTGGACTTCCTGAGATTTAATTTTAACCCAGGTGTCGTCAGCATACCTGAACCAATGACTTTGTGGTGTCCCTGAAAAGGACACCAAGGCTCTCTTTTCTACCTCCTCCATGTAAAGGTTGGCCACAGTAGGAGAAACTGGAGACCCCATAGCACACCCATGTTTCTGCCTATACTATTGCTCCCCATATGTGAAGTAGGTTGACTGCAAAAACAGTTTCAAGAGACCACCTCTACTGCATCATCATCAGAAATGCACGTAAAGAGTGATGTGACATTAAAAGAGACCATTGTTTCATCAGTCTCCATGATGACATCCTTCACCTTATCCACAAAGTCCATGGTGTTCTGTAGGTGATGTTCTGAGCTGCCAACTAAAGGGATGAGTACAGACGCTAGATATTTGGAAACATTGTAAGTGACAGAGTTAATCATGCTAGTAATTGGTCTTAAAGGTACACCTTGTTTGTGGATTTTTGGTAAACCATACAGACTAGGTGTGGTCTCCCCTGGGTACAGTCTGTGGTACAGAATACAGTCAATAGCCTTGACCTGCTCCATAATTTTCAGGCAATCTATTAACTTGTTCTTGTAACCACTTCCTGGATCTCTTTTCAGAGGTTCATAAGTGGTTAAGTCACTAAAGAGTGTCATGACTTTCTTATGATACTCTTTCTGATTCAAAATCACTGTGCACCTTCCTTTGTCTGCTGGGAGAATGATGATGTTTTTGTCCTTGCTAAGAGGGGTGAGTGCATCCCTCTCTTCTCTACTGATGTTGGAAGGTAGTGGTTTGGCATTGCTGAGGCAGGCTGAAACTTTGATTCTGAGTTGTTCTGCTTCAACCTCTTTAATCAGAATCAGCCATCCGCAACAACAAAAGTAAAGACTCAGTAATCAAAGAACATGACTCTTGCAGTGCTCTCTGCCTTTTCTAGATGACAGTGGGTTTGCTGAAGCAGGTGTATGATGGCATCTTGAACTCCAAGTCCACGCCGATAAGCAAACTGTAGTGGGTCCTGATATGTGCTTGTTTGTTTAGTCTGGTCGGTCAACAAAAGTCTCTCTATGACCTTCATGATGTGGGATGTCAGGGCAACATGTCTATAGTGGTTAAGGACTGATGGGTGAGTTTTCTTTGGTACTGGAACAAGGCAGGAGGTTTTCCACAACAATGAAACCTTCTCCTGGGTCAGGCTAAGGTTGAAGAGGTGCTGCAGAACCCCACAAAGCTGCTCTGCACAGACCTTCAGGACTCTGGAACTGACACCATATGGACCTGCAGCCTTATTCCAGTTCAGTCTCTCCAGCTGCTTCCTCACCTGACTTCTGGAGATGCAGAGTGGGGAGGCAAAGAAGGTATCAGAATCTTCTGATTTGGTTGAAGACCAACATGTAGAAGTGTCCATGACTGAGGTGGTAGATAAAATATATGAGGTGTGACAGAACAGCCTTGGGTCAAAGGAGGGTGGTATATCTGTTTGGCTGTGGGCAAGAGAGGAGGATGCTGAGCTTGTTCCTGAACTGAACCTGTAGAAGAATGTGTTCAGTTCATTGGCTCTGTCCAGGATTCCAACCTTCTGATCATCCTTCTGTTTGAAGCCTGTGATCTTCTTCATCCCTGACCACACCTCTCTGATATTGTTCTGCTGGAGCTTGCTCTCCAGCTTCTTCTTGTAAACATCCTTGCTGTTTCTTATCTTGACTTTTATTTGCTTCTGTGTACTCCTCAATAATTCTGTCTCCATCCCTGAAAGCTCTTTTTTTCTGGTTTAGCAGTTCCTTCAAGTCAGTGGTGATCCAGGGCTTGTTATTGGGGAAGCATCTCAGTGTTCTGGTGGGGATGGTGTTGTTTACACAGAAGTTTATATAATCGGTCACACACTCAGTCGTGGCATTGATATCCTCTCCATGTTGTTGACACAGTGCATCCCAGTCTGTAGCCTCAAAACATCCCCGCAGGACTTCTCCAGCTTCCATTGACCATTTTTTCCACAGTTCTCTTTATTACAGGTTGCCTCTGAACAAGGGGTTTATATTTTGAGCAGAGAAACACAATATTGTGATCTGATTTGCCAAGAAGGGGTCTTGCTTTAGTGATGTATGAATCCTTGACATTTGCATAAAACAAGTCCAGCATTTTGTTTTCTCTGGTAGAGCAGCTGACAAACTGTTGGAATGTCGGAAGTGTAACAGAGAGAGAGACTGTCAGGGTTTTCTGGTCAGGGCGAGCCCAGTAGTGCGGACAGGGACTCAACTCGGCAGAAGTAAAAAAATAGAAATTTAATGATAAATAATAAAATACAAAAATAACAGGCTGACGAGGCAGCACAACTTACAAACGGGATGAAGGCACGGGAAGCTCAGAGGTATACAGGAAACTCAGACGACTCAGAAGACACAGGGGCCCAACGAAGACGACGCGACAAAGAACAAGACTGAACAGACGGCTTATATACAAGGACAAGACGAGACGTGATTACAAACAGCTGTGACGAGACAAGGATGGCACCAATTAAACTAAAGAGAAAACACTAGGGAAACACAGACACAAACCAAGCCACCAAATGGTACCATCCTTACAGAGACATGATTAAAATCCCCAGATATTGCAACAAACGCACTAGGGTGTTGTGTCTGTAGCTTAGCAACCTCGGAGCTGATGACATCACACACAGTCTCTGCAACATCATTGGGTGGAATGTAAACAGTTGCCAAAATAACACTGGTGAACTCTCTTGGTAAATAATATGGACAACAACTTAGTGCTAACAGTTCAATATCTGGACTGCAGAGATGACACTTCACAGTAACATGTCCAGGATTATACCATCTGTTGTTCACAAGCACTGCCAACCCACCTCCTTTTTTGCCACTCCTCTTTAAATCTCTGTCTGCTCGTATGATCTGAAAGCCTGGCAGAGAAATGCTGGAGTTGGGGATATGATCCTGCAGCCATGTCTCAATGAAACACATAAAACTGCATTCCCGATACTCTGGCTGGGTCCTTGTTAGGGCGTGAAGTTCATCCAACTTGTTTTCCAGTGATCTCACATTGCCAATCATGATCGATGGAAGAGATGGTTTGAATATCATTCTTCTACCTTTCTCTCTCTACTTTGCACCTGCTCTGCATCCGTGACACCTCCTTTTCAACTCATTTAGGATTTGGGGCTGTAGCTGAGATATTATTTGAGTTTTGGAGATGTTACTGTTCCCAGTAATTTCAATCAATTTCATTATCTGATGAGTTTATCTGGGGTGAGTATAAAGCTGTATAAAAATCTCTGAAAATGCTGTTTATTCTTTCAGAATCATAAACTTCTATCAAAACTTTTCTCAAGTTGAAACTTTAATTTTTCTTCTTTGAATTTTTTATATATAAGTAGGTTGTTTGAGTCCCAAAAGCTTACTTCTCCTCTTCTTCACTTTTCTTCATCTCTTTCTCATCTACTCATCTGAGGGTCTTCCTCAGACTGCAACTTCCAATCACACCTCCTAACTTTGAGGGGTTGGTCAGTTTGAACCAATCAGAATGAAAGGGCAGGACCTTATAGCCAATTTGGCTTTACTTTAATTTACTTAATTATTATTTTAATATACTTTGCTGAAAAGTCCTTAAATACGACAAATGTAACACTTCTATCTTGAAGCGAGATTAAAATCAATAAAAACACTTTTTTAACTTTGCAAACAGAAAACAAGTTTGCCATCTTTTTGGACTACAAGTATTCCTGTAAGAAAAAAATACAAGGCAAATTAGTTATTCCCAGTAAACAATTATTTAATTACAGGAAAACAAAATATTGCTTCTCCAGAATGTGAATAAAAGTCTGTGTCAGTCTTCCCAATGCAGAAAAGAGGAACATGGGTGTCAGACTGCACAGGAATCCTTTGAACAGGGACAAGGCTTTTCTGTTATCATCCTCATTTACGATAATTGAAGAGTAGTTTGGTTGGATGTTGGTACAAAGTGATACCAGAATTTCTTGGGTGATCTGTTGTAACTCAAATTGTCCATTTTGGGTTCACAGAAAGGGCTTTCAGATATTATTTAGATTTATTTGATCTTTGGTTGTCTTTGCACAAAATAAAAGTGTCTTTTGGATATTTTCCAGACTTAGGGATGCTGAAAAAAAGGTTTAAACTGTCCCAGGTCTGAAACAGGGGTGGGATGTCTCAGTTGTTGTTCTTTAAGGGAGAGGAGTTTCCTTTTTTTTCTTTAAGAGAAATCTTCACAAAATGAACTCACTCAGTTATCAGAAAGAAAAGTATGTTATAAAATGACATTCAGGGACGCCTGTATATCCCTACACAATGCAGATTTTTTTTTCTCTGCTGCTCAGTATTGTTACTCTTTTCTTCTTAGACCCTGTTATTCTTTCATCTGCCCACTTTCTCACAGGCACAAACAATAGTATTTACTTGAATTGCAAAGGTTTCCTCAATGTGTAACAATTTATTGACCTCCTGTTCTTTCCTTCCTCTCTGCAGGAATCTCAATGCCTATTCCTGTGCTTGGACTAAGAGACCACTCCAAGGTTTTTAAAGATGGCGTCTGCTTACTGACAGATGCCAACTTTGTGCTTGTGGGCTCCTTTGTTGCATTTTTTGTTCCTTTGACCATCATGATCGTCACCTACTTCCTGACTATCAATGCTCTACAGAATGAAGCCACGCTCTGCTTGGACCAGCTGGTTCCACGGCCCAAATGGAGCACTACATTCACCCTGAGCTTCCTGTCACAAACGTCTGTATCCTCTGACAAACTCTTCAGGCGTTCCATAAGTCGAGAGGTTGGTGGAAGAGGAAGCAGTGGTGGCCTTGGTGGCACTCGGGGTAGTTTCTCTGGCCCATTGTTTGGGCGGCGCACCATGCAGTCCATCAGCAATGAGCAGAAGGCATCTAAGGTGCTCGGAGTGGTGTTTTTTCTCTTTGTGGTCATGTGGTGCCCGTTTTTCATCACCAATGTGCTGGTAGTGGTGTGTCACCGAGCCCCATGTAATCCAGAGGTCATGGGAGATCTGCTGAACATTTTTGTCTGGGTTGGATACTTATCCTCTGCTGTTAATCCATTGGTCTACACATTATTTAATAAAACATACCGCACAGCTTTCCAGCGCTACATATGCTGTCAGTATCAGCCAGAGAAGAAACCTCTTCAACTCATACTGGTCAACACCATCCCACCTCTGGCCTACAACTCCACGCAGCTACCCCTGAGTGACGTTGAGAAGTTACGGAATGGAACAGCACACTGTAATAAGGAGAGGAAGGAATTCTTCCTACCTGCAAAGGAAACAACACAGTGTAGAAAGGGCAAAAGCTACAAAGACAAAGATGAGAGCAGAGTATAAAAAGATGAAAGGAAATCCTGGTTAATGGTAAATCAGGTACAAGTCCTGGAACGATTGAAACCTAAACAGTATACAGTCACACTGCTCTTTGGAGTGAAAAGTTTTATATTTAAAGTTAATATACCAAAGTTACGTTACTCAATCCATTAGACATAATGACTACAAGCTTCTACATCATCAACAATTTCCAACGTCAGCTGCAATTTTATCCTCAAATTCTTCCAGCTGCAGATCCATCAAGAAGCAACTGGTAGAGCTTTTCGTTGCTCATCACTTTTCCAGTTTAACCAGCAATAAAGAAAATCCATTCTTCTTACCTGAATTAAAATTTAAATGTATGATCTAGTTTTGGAATTTCAACAAAAAGGTGAAAAAATAAATATTGTGTAAAAGATAAGAGAGAGATATTTAGGTTTAAGCCCATTTCAAAGAGTGACAGAAATGACTTTTTTATGGTACTTATTCCTTACACGAAACAGAATATAAAACCTAATGTTTTTTTCCAGTGGGTGCTTTGATGATGTGAAGCCACAAACCCTTTCATTCTGCCAGCTACCTGGCACCTTGCCATCCATCTTATTGCACCTGTGGGTGGATCAAGGAGGATTAGACTGGATTTAAATCCACTTTACAGAACGAGTGTCAGAAAGGGACAGCCTGCCACACCTTCATCCAAACACTCAGAAGTCGGATCAAGCTGCCAAAAAGGGAAGAAAAACTTAATTCTTCCAATGTTTTTTTTTTTTTTAAATATGACTCTATACATTGCTAAGATTAAAAAATATATATATTTTCAAGTGAGACGATAAATATTGTAGCTGCCATAAAGCAGTATTGATACTGTTAACAGATTATATCTGCAGGAATAGTTGATTTCAATGTTATTGTATTTGTAAAAGTCATTTTCTATCGTGTTCTTATACAACTATCAGTGCACACTGTCACTGTTGTTTCGGTCTTTACACAGTGTGTCCAGTGCTATGGTGGGTGGGTACTGTGTTTAAATGTTATTTAAAAATTTGTGAATGTGGGAGAGACTGAAGACAGACAATCAGTAACTCAGAATGCTTTGTGCAAGCCAGAATTATAAATTTTAATTTTCCTTCTGGGATATAAAGCAAAACGTGGGTCAATAAATAAAAACATTTTATTTTTATATTACTAAACTGTGACGATAGCCTGATAGTAATACAGAAAGGGGTAAGTGATGTAAATCAGCCCGCTCTATCCCTTTCCCCTCCCCCCCAATGTAAAAAAAGAGTTTCTTGCTCAAGTGTGAAGTGAACAGCCTCCTCTTCAGGGAGGCCTTTATGGAAAAGAGTGAAGCACAGCAGAGAGGGACGGTCAGAAAGATACAAGTTTTATCTCTTCAAATTATCAAAGTTATTAGTTGTGCTTTGTGGCCTGTTTCATATTACTGACTTGACAGGCTGTTTTATTTCTGACTGTTCACATCAAATTCAATTTAAGTGCTGTTTTTCTTCATTTATTGCCTTTTGGAACTTTCTGTCCTCATCTACTCTGCTGTTTTTATGAGCTCATACGTTTGTTGGCCCTTTAAGTACCATCAATTTGTGGAACAAGATGCCAATGAAATATAGTTATAAGAAAAATCAACTCTGAAGCTCAATTTTCTGTGAATTATTTCTGCAAAATGTTTAGGGAAAACAGGGCTTGAAGTTTTGTTGTTATTTTTGTATCTTGTATTGACCTTTGGGACAAGTCATCAGCTGTTTTTGAGTTCCACTGTATCCAGCTCAGTTCATACACTTGTAACCCAACATTAATTTTCTTACTTTTAATCTTTAAAAACAAAAGAGCAGAATAGAAATAGTAAATTTCAAACCTTTTTCATCTATCTGATAGCCTCACAGGTTCAAAATACTTTTACAAATAGTTTAAAGAGCAGAGTTGTAAAACATAAAGAAGACTTTGATTAATTAAAAACAAAAATAACTAGAGAATTTGCATTTCCTGCGAAAATGCAAGTGTGAATGCCTCTTGTTCACGAATGTCAAGAAAACAGTTGGAAAGTAGCTTAAAATAGCAAAATGAAGCTTCAAATATCAGAAGGAAGCAAAACGTGCACAATTGTTCCTAATGTAATGGACTGCCAAGCTGCTGCCAAAATAAACACTTAATCTGACATTACTGTGTTTGGGTTAGCTCTCAGCTACCACTATGGCAAATTTCAGCTAAATAGCTTTAAAAATGCTTGAGTTATTGTATTTTTTCCTTTGTTTGCTAAGGCAGCCTTCATGGATTTTTGATTTTCAATCAGTCTATTAGGGATCTTTGTCAATATATGCCAAGTTTCAACTGAATAGCTGTACAAATGGCAGAGTTATCCTAGTTTTTCTATAAAACAGATAAATAGTAGCTAAAGAAATGTAGAAAGAAGCTTAAATTTCCAAAAGGAAGTGGAGGGAGCTTAACTGTGCCCACTAAGGCTGAAACAGGCAAAAATTAGCACAATAAATTTGAAATTATCTGAGACAAGCTGGAATGTGCAAAAAACAGCTGAAGAGTAGCTAAAACAAGCAGAAAGAAGCTTAAATTATTAGAGGAGATTTGGGAGAGCATGTTTTTGCTGAATTAGGCTGAAAAAGTTAAAATGATTGCAAAAAAAATGTGGAATTAGCTGAAAAAGATTAAATTAACATCAAAACAGCTAAATACTAGTTGAAATAGCAGAAATAGCTGAAACTTACAGAAATAAGCTGAAAGGAGCAGATCAAGCTGAAATTAACAGAAATAGGGTTGAAGAAGCATAAAAATCTTGAAGTTAGCTGAATTAAGTTCAAAGAAGCACAAAACAGCTGAAATTGGCTGAACTAGCTGAATTTTTGATTTTCATTCAGTCTATTAGGGATTGTTGTCATCTACCAATATGCCAAGTTTCATCTGAATAGCTCTAAAAATAGCAGCATCATCCTAGTTTCTCTATAAAACATCTGAATAGTAGCTAAAGAAATACAGAAAGAAGCTTTAATTTCCAAAAGGAAGTGGAGGAAGCTTAAGTGTGCCCACTAAGGCTGAAACAGGCAGAAATTAGCTCAATAAAGTTGAAATTATCTGCGAAAAGCTGGAATTTGCTCAAAACAGCCTAATATTAGCTAAAACAAGCAGAAAGAAGCTTCAGTTACTAGAAGGATGTCGGAGGAACATGTTTTTGCTGAATTAGGCTGACAAAAGTTTAAATGATAGCAAAAAATGTGGAACTAGCTGATAAAGATGAAATTAGTATGAAAACAGCTAAATGCTAGCATAAATAGCTGAAACATTCAGAAATAAGCTGAAAGGAGCAAAACAGGCATACATTAGCATAAATAAGTTTGAATAAGCACAAAAATGTTGAAGTTAGCAGAATGAAGCTGAAAGGACCTCAAAACAGCTAAACTTAGCTGAACTAGCTGAATTGTGTTTAAAATTTTGTGCAAGGAAGCTGAAACAACCATAACCAGTTCTAAATGTGAAAGTAGTAGTACCAGGTTATAAACAAATCAAAAGTTATGAAGGATGTAAAATGAGCTCCTTTCATTTTTAATGAGAGCAAAAATGGCAGAAAAGGCTAAATATCTCAAAAAGCTAAATGTTGGATTGTATACCTGGATTATTGAGCATGGACTTAGTTGTCAAAAAGCTAAAGTCGCACCAATACCAAAAGTCATAGCAGTCATGTCCTGAAACAGCCGAATGTTTTGATATATGTTTTTTTTTTAAATAGCACAGAAACTGTGGGAGTAGTTAGATGCCAAAAAATGTACGGAAAAAAAGTGAATCACTATAGTGTGAATATAGGCATTCACACAATTATGTTAAAGTGGAAAATACGTAATACAAGTGTAATTGGCCTTCTTTACAAATTGGTTATTGTTTTCTTCAAATGTTGAGTCTGAAAAATGACAGTTATTCATTTGGATTTTCCAACTTGTAAAATGTGTAAGGTTCTTCAGGTCAAAAAGGTTTTTTAATGTCTTTGATGAAAAAATTCTGCAATAAATGTAACATTCAAAAGTGAACATTGTGAATCTTTATTTTGTAAAAGCTCATACCTTGAAAACCTAATAATATATCAATAAATACATATCCATCCATCCATCCATCC